TACATGATGCAACATATCATGTTTCCCAAACAGCTCATAATTAATTGAACCAACGCGGCATTTTGTAAATAAAAAAGGACGCTTATTTCTCTTAAATGGTGTGGTATAATGTTCATATGTCACAAGAGTGAAATATTTATTGTGTCTACTCATCACTTTTTGTATTTAATGATCAAGCTTCATTCTATTATAACTGACAAATCTGATAAAGAATCTGGTTATATATATCTTAGACATATAATCTTGTGCTATTTATTTTTTGAATTCGGCACAATGTCATGATAAATTTTACCATGTGTAATATCTTGATGAAATATTAGAGCTAGTATCCACGAATGATTTGATCTTTCATGCAAAACAAACACATTTTCTATTTTTACTGCTTTTCTATGAGCTCTTAGTCATTTATACCGATTTGTGTTTGTTTATCATTTCACTCAAAACCTACAACCACAAAAGCAGAAAGCCGTTTTATCAGTTGTTAATCTATCAAATCCCGATATTCAAATATAGTTGTACAATAAATTAGAAAAAAAACGGTGTGAGCCTAAGCCATTTTTTCGGATTCGGCGCCATATGACCTAAACTGTGTTGGTGCGTGGTAAATCAAGCAACCAAACAGAGAATTTTTGCTAATTTGCGGTATTTTTTAAGCCAGATATTTGTCACTTTGGAACAGAAAAACAGAACAAAAATCCAAGGTCAACAGATTTGCAAAATTATCCCTGATATAATGGCATACGATAAAAGAAGTGTAAAAACATATTGACAGTCTCCGATATTTTGACAAGCTTTTTGATGTCATTTTATCAATCATATCCACTAATCTTTGAAATTTTATATCTCATTATAGCGTTTAGTCATTGTAAAATGATTAAATATAAAGAAGTATTTATATTTTAAATGTTTGCAATTATCTCGTCTACAATAAACTGAGTTGTTTGGACACACATTTTCATTGTTATATTGATAGATATGTTGAAAAGATTGCGAATAAAAAGACTGTAAACGCTTGTTTTGACTTACTCCCACCAACACTATTTAAAGCGACCATTGACTTTTCTAAAGGATTTTCTTATTTTTACATATTAAATCCTTTCATATCATTGTCAAATTTTTTCCGTCGTTAAAATACATATAAAAACAATATGAAAACCCATTGATATCTCTAATCTATCGGTACGCTCTCTATATGTAAATTAGTAAACCAGAAAATTCGTATTCCGAACTTCTATTGTTTAGAAACGAGCGTCACTGTCGTTTTCTCAACAACTTTTGGGACCTGTATTGAAGAAAGCTTTATATGATGCACTTTTTTAAAGATAAAGTTACTGAAATATATACATAGTTTGAAACAACAAATAATTGTTTTTTTTTCCGACAAAACGTAAAAGCTGAAGGCCTCTTTAAAGACAGTTATTCTATTGTAACTAAAACATAACGCTTTTGTTCAAAGGAGACTTATCTAATGTATAACGTTACTAATGGTGTTACCAGACACCAACAAATCATGTATAAGCATCGTTAACGTATCATATCGACCCGGTAAATCTTTAAATCAAAGATGTAAAGTTCAGCATGACTTTTTTTTAATTGTAACAGCAGACAAAAAACATGGAAACCAGATCTTAGTATCGGTATTTCTAAACTAAGTTTAGATACAGGTAATTTGATAAGATTAACAAAGAAAGTCTCAATCAGTTAAAAAGGGATAAGGAAATATTATGATATACTAGGGTACTAGGCTCTGAATGTATTAAAATGCTGAAACCATCTTAAGTACATAAGGTATGTCAAAACCTAATAAAATGATATCCCATTACATGGTAATTGGTGAATAAGCAGCATTCGCGGCAGGAATGTTAATACGGATTTTATTCCGCAATCATCAAAGAAAAAATATATCATTCAACTAAAAGCTTTGAATATAAAATTGTACTGAAAAGGATCAACAACTGACACTTGGAGGGTTTGTTTATAGCTAGGTTAATTTATCCAAGATTTTAGGCGGATAGTTTCTCTTATAATACAACTTTTATAACATTTATTATCATGAATACTATATATTTTGTTTTGTAAGTTGAAAGTAAATGAAGAAAAAGCAAAACATACAAATAACATAAATTTTGTAGCAAGCAACTTATTGCAAAAATTCTTAATTGCAACCAGAATGTTCCTGTCAGAAAACAGACAATAGATATGCAAATTGCAAATATATTGCATTCCCCCTGCATGTTTATTTTTGTAGATGTAAGAGTAAGTTGACCTGTTCCTGATAACTTCCAAATAACGTTTCAAAAATTAAAACTTGTTTACTAAAGATTAGACAGAATTTTCAATATTTAATTGAATACCCCTCAACCCGGTGCTAGGGGGCGTGAGGGATGTTGCACGTTTTCATTATCCCTCATGTACAGACTCAATCAAACCAAGTCTGCAATTTTCATGTAATTTTGCTGTTTTTGTTGCTTCCGGGGGATCACTTTTTTCCAGATATTAATATAAAAAACTGTGAAATAACAGGTTGTGTTTCATCATACATCAATAATGACAAACATGTTCGTATGTCTTAATTTAGCCAACAAAAGAATAAGACTGATAACAAATTTAATTGAAATTAGTTGTTTAGCTCTTTACAAATATCAAGAGAACATTTTAAATGAAATTCAGAACCATGAAATTATTTCTGATATAACATTAAGATATGAATCTCGTTTCAAACATAACTTATAAGATATAAGCCAAGTATAATTTGATAAGCATGACTTTTGAATTGTATTGATTTAGACGTTTGTTTGATGAAAACAGAAGAAACAGTAAAACAATCTACACAAAAGTGAATAAATAAAAAATAACAATCCACATAAAAGGCGGTCATCTTCTAAAGTAACGTACATGTATGTACATTTGAAAAAGGAACTTCATCTGATTACACATTAGACCCAACAGTAAAAACAAGTACATTTGAAAAGAGAACTTTATTTGATTTGGCCGACACATTTAAGCAAAGACAAAATGTAAATTCAAATACTACAAATTAGCTGCAGGTCGAATGCCGCAAACTTGATTAAAATACTATTTTCATTATCAGTAATGTACGTGAGTGGTGCCTGATATCATGGATATTGAACACACTTATTTTGTATTAAATATATACTTCATTAAACATTTGACATATTGCATACTCTAACTATATAGATTAAAAAATTGTTTAATAACCCCAGATTAATATCTTATCGTTTTCCTGATTCACGACAGTAGACTATTTACTCGATATTTTTATCACTGGAGCCATGAAATATAATGCACAATTTCGTCCTTAAAGTCGTTTATGTTATAAACCCTGCTATTAATGTCTGAAACGTAAAACCTTTTGTCATGTGAGCCTACCCATTTGGCAATCTGATAATGTCGAAAATGTAGCCGCTTGTCTTATTAATGTCAAACAATCAGACATGTTTGCAGTGAAGATGCATTAGTTGGTGCCTAATCTGAAATAAACCTTTATGAAATATTCCCATTTAAAAAAGTAATATAATTCGACCAGTGGAATAGATTATACACCATTAAACAGAAAACGTTTTCAAACAAATTATCTGAATAAATGTTTATGAATTATACTGAATACAGAAATGCGGAATCCATGAAGTACGCACATAATTGAAAATAATGAAAACGTTGCAGACTCGGTTGTTTGAACCTGTTAATGGATGGTAGTGGTAATTGCAAACTACTGTCCACGGTCGCCCCAGCACCGGCTCCAGCATAATTCAAAGTTTAATTTAAAATATGAATACGATGAAATTTTGAATATATAAACACCCGTTAATGAGCTCATTAAGTCATGTAAAACCTATTCATCTGACGTGATTTACGAAAGTGACATGTTTGAATTATTGTCCATAAATTACCAGAATCTCGCAATTTGAAAATAAATCAGATCAACAGGAAGATAGCTTTGTTGAACCTGTACATTGCCGGCAAAGGCAGGTGCAAGCAACCTTCACCGACTTAAACATAAGGTGGTACTGAGTAAAGCGACTTTTTCAATAATGATTTAAATAGAAAACAAGATAATAGAAAAGATTCATCAATAATTCTGATAACTTCAAATTCAAATATTCAGACATTAGACGGTCTTGATATCTAATCACTAGTGTATAAAATAATTTTCTTAAATATCATGTACATTAATAAGGAACTGTTTCTCTGAATAACAATAAAAGTGCTATTTTCTACTTGACCGAATAAAAAATCTAACAAATTGAGCAATTATTCCAACATTGAATCTCTTATCATCCTAAGATAAAGTCTAGTTATAGCTTCGTTTAACCAAAACAATTTATAGTATTACCATTTTTATCTTTAAATGCCATTATTTGCTTTATCGTCGCTCTTAAAATGATAAAAGTTTAATGTCCTTATAATTGAATGCTTTATCAACGTCTGGTTATGAAAATGTTTGGTTACTGTGCATAACCATATGTTTGGTAAAAAACATGAAATCTATACAATGCAAAATAACGGTATGTACTAACTGTAAACGCGGGGGTGCGATTAGATAATGCGTAACGTTTAAGAGCAAAATATGATTGTTCTTAATTTAAAGCCATATACAAAAAAGATTTGCTGTAAAGAACTAAATGGCATAGAATTTCTGCCGAAAGAAAAACAAGTAATTAAATTGGTGTCAGAAAGATTTCGTTTTCGAAATCTTAATAACTTAATTATTAAACAACATCTGTGACAATTTTGGATAGTTTAAAATATATGCGCGTTTTGTTTGAAGCCAGGGTTTGTGTATGATGGTCTAATCATATCACTGGCAAATCATCTTAATAACCCGATAACAATATCCTTTATTCCTTCTTTAAGTTATCTAATCTGACGTTTATTTGTTTGGTTTAGCTTTGTTTGCCGAGTATTATTCATTCTGTAAATCAGTCCAGATTGATCTAGTAAAATCATCATACAATCAAACGAAACCACGTATTACTTACCGCTTGTTTGAAGGAGACAAGTCAAAAAATCTTCAGCATACACTTGTGTCAATTTCGTGAAAGAAAACCAACAACCACACTTTTACTGTCTGAAAATACACGATATCATATTTGCTCAAATCTAGTGTACTGAGTCAACGATAAAATCATTTTAAAAGTCATCCAGTACAAGTCAATCAAACAAATAGTCCTATTTCGATACATATCTGTTCTACGTTTTCTGATAGTTTGAGCTTTTGACTCAAGTATATTTGTAAGAATAAAAGGTCAATTGAAAACATCAAGAATATGCATCAATTATATGTTAATATTCTCTGATATCTTAGCTTAAATGTTCTATGTTTGAATATAATTGTTTTCTTATACAATAATATACTCATTTGAATAGACATAACAGCATAATATTCACATTAATTCATTTTATCAATGATACTGAACAAAATGCTTCAATGCACTGGCGATAGCGTTCTGCATCTTTCTGTGAATGATAACTGACAAAATGTGCAACTAATCAAACATTTATTTCTTATTTCATTTCTGTGGCTAAAACTAAGAGATGTAAACAAAACATTTTTGACCAATCTACATCGAGTCCATAACGTAAATAAGCGTCTGTGTTGGAAAATTGGAAACTTTTACTTATATTATATTATACAATTATTGACTAGTGAGCGATTGAATATGATGTGATATTCACCGGCAGATGACATATTGACCGAGGCGATAGCCGAGGTCAATATGACTTTCTGCCGGTGAATATCACATCATATTCAATGGCTCACTAGTCAATAATTGTTTTATTATATGAATAGGCTAAGCATTAAAAAAAATCACGAAAAAGTACAACCTTATATACATGTACAAATTTTGCCTCGTTGAAGCGCGGGAAAAAACGCACGTGTTAGGCGTGCAACGACTACGAGAACGCTGCGCATACAAAAGTAATTCAAGTTTATACTCATCGATGCGGTTTAGCCTTTAAGTATAACAGTAAAGTAATGATATTTCAATCGAGAAATATGCCATAAAGAACAAAACGCAACAATTATTTTTTAATTAACACACGTAATTAACAGTCTAAGGTGTATGGTCATTGAATATGAGTCTCAATCTATATTTAGACTTGGAAAATCCAATTCAGCCAGTTAATATGATACTACACCCAGTGAATATGATTTTATAAAAAAGTTATGTTGACTATAGTTTGGACCAATCAGATTGCAGCTATTTTTAGATCATGTAATAATATAAAATAGTAAACTTTATATTCGTCCAGTTAAGTGATATGATTCGTTCAGGTTTATTGCTATCTGTATGAAACAGAACACGAACGATGCAATAAGCAACCTTTTCTCACTTTGGTGCCAATATGTATACGGGCAACAGAGTGAAGAGAATATAAGGCGAACATAAACATCAAAATACAAGGCAAAGCTGATCATATGTTTTAAAAGATATAACATCAAATGTTGCTGAAATGATGATTTATGATGATAATTCAATTTTTTGTTCCTTAAGAACCATACTTAAGTTGTCAATATACGTCTGCACATTAAGCAAATGTTTCAAATAATGGAAAGTTTCTTTTGCTTCTTGTGAACATGTGAAATAAGTAACATATTGTTTTCTAAACTATGTGTGATGATATATGTTTTGTTGTAATAATCAAAAAAGATTATAGAAAAAATTTAAATAAAGTGAAACAAAGGGTTATAATATGGTACTCAATATAGTACAGGACTGTAAACAATACTTTGTATACGCATTTTAAACCATACCTTTTGCCGTGCATTTCTAGACCAAAATCAAAATTTTTATTTCGAATTAGTCATTTTTATTATTTAATGTGAAACTAAGAGTAACATTTATTCGTATGATATAACTGTGCTTCACTTTTACAGTTGTTTTTAATTTTTGAAGTAAAATTTGGCACCAACAATCCATTAACATACTTTATTTGTTTATATTCAGCATATGGATTTCCAAAATAGTTTGGTAAATAAAAAAAGTATATATACATAATAGATCAACAGATGCTGTATGGCGTGTTGTGTTAAAATGTTATTACAACGAGGCTGTTAAGACATGTATACAGGGCGTTAACCTTTATAATTATTAAACAAAACATTTCAACCAAGCTGTTGTTTATAATTTCAGAACGATGTCAGACAAATAGTAATTTTGATTAGAAGGACTATCAAGTACTAAAATCGCAAAATGATAATTATTAAAATATTCAATTAACCCTAGAGGCCTGTTTTTGAACAAGTTTTTACATCTAGAAATATTATAAGCATCCCACTTGCTTACATTTGTTAAATTAAGAAGAAATTGTCTGGCATTGTATTCAAAGTCTGACATCTTAGCATAATAGGTTCTCTGTTCTATGAACATAGTCATTTTCTCATACAATATTTTATTACAAAATTCTATTCATACTTTTTCATCTTATCTATCTGGATGAAAATGCTCCAATAAGCTGGCGACAGCTTGTTGCAAATTTGTTTGCATGATAGCTGATCATTAGTGCATACCATAAAATATATAATTGTTGTTCCTTCCGCGAATATTTCAGATCAAGTCGAGCAAATGACAAGTAGCCGATAGTGAACGAAAAAATCAATCATAATTGAAACAATCAAAAAATAAAATGTACAATAAAAATCAGTCAGCCTTTTATTGTACTCAGCAGTTTTCTTAACTAACAAATACACAGCAAAAAATAACAATGTTGATAAAAGTATATGCCGGTTTAATTTTTCATTTTCGAAAGATTCATACGTGCTTATTTACATAAAAATAACCAGGTTACAGAAGCCATCAGAAATTTCACAAAAACACGACACAGAATCGTCTTTCATTAGGACAGAATGTGCTAATTAAACAAGAAATGAGAACTGATCATTAACAACATACCTAGCGAATGTGATAAACAATATGTAGAAAGCATAAAACATTGTTTAAAAAAGGAAAAGTCATCTATAAGTCATCTATAATTACTTTTCATTTTATTTTGGGATAAATTATGACAGCACGACAACAATTGTGTCTGACACTATATATCAAGCATACAACTTGCTTATTAATTCTGATAAATATACTCTTTGACTGGAAGATTCACAGGGTGAAAAATTATTGTCAATTACGTTGAAAACTCCTAATTTGTCGTGACGTTCTAATGAAATAAGATCGGATTCCTTGTGAGAAAATGCTTTAATTTATCTTTCAGGACTCAATTTTGTTCGGCAATCTATCTGTTTTATTACACTCCTTATCAATTTGGAAAAGGAAGAATCTTTTGACTGCGATATTTACAGATTTCTTTGCATAGAGAGTGTTGAAAGTTGAAAATACCAGAAAACAAAGGTCGGTTTTGTTTCATGTATCAAGCATACATTAATAAAGTGTTCCAATAAAAAAAGATAAATTAAAGCAAAACATGTATTGTAATTTAATATTTTGTACTGCCCCCTTGAACACGCAAATTCCACTCTATAGTAGTTTGTAAAACCCTTTAACACTTACCAAACGAAATACGTCATTTTTAATCGTGTTGAGGACAATGAGCACTTCATTTCCTCTTCAAATCATGCATCATTTAATGTAAAGTGTAGTATAAGAATATAATTATGTATAGTATAAAGATATCTCCGCTGGCATTGTTTTAACAATGACAATTGAAAGTTAAAGCATTATTTGTAACTGTAAGATATGTTCTTTTTTTTTTGCTTTACTATTTGTCTCTTTATAATGAAAAAAGCTGTAAATATATTACAGTTACAGGTCTTGCATGGTTGTCTATATTAACTCGATAAATAAAAAATCAATGTTATGAGAAAAACATCTCCACGACGATAGTTTTATTACAGCGTAATTGATTTGACAAGCTAAAAAGATTTACACAACGTTTCGTCATTGTACTATTTCACTTTATTTTTGAAACAGTGATATAATTGATAGTTATAACAAAAGGGAACACATTAAATAACCTGAATCATTATGTAAAAAGCAGAAACACTCTTCAAAATGTCAACAGAATGTTAAAACAATTATACTCAGGATATTTGTTACTTTCTTAATGCAAAAGGAAAAAAACAATATCTTGAAATTGTTAATTGTGGGCGGTGCTCAAAATTAATGGTCTAACAGAACATATTTATTGTATGCAGCTTGTTGACCGAATTCCATCTCATTATCGTTTAATGTTCAATTTACGATGTGGCAATAATTATGACAATTATACATAAAAAATGAATTCAGGTTCTGCTTTGCAAAATGTCTTTCACAATTCTACTTAAAATTTGGGTAACTTCCAGACTAATAATAAAATGTATTTGAATTGAGTATCATCACAAGTAATTGGCATTTACCTGTTCTCATACGCCCATTAATAAAACAAAAACGACGACCTACCAACGTTACAATGAGTAACCGGACAGTTATGTCACAAAAATTAAGCTTTATCTGAATCAATTAAAGCTGCATTGAATAAGAGTTTTTGATGGACTATTATTATCAACAAAAGTACCACAACTTGAAAAGTAAGTTCCTTTACTGAAATCAGTCTGAATTATCTGTCTTAAAACAAATAGAATGTTTATCAGTGTAAGAACCCCTCATTTGTGCACGTGATTAGGCTTAAAGATCCTGTAACACAATGTTTTCATGGTTTTATTTCATAAATATGATGCTCAAATTAAGATTTATATCGATATTGTAAGTTCCAATAAGCATTATTTATAAAGATATTACCCAATTTAACATTGCATGTAAATAATGGGAGGTAAGAAATTTATTTTCTATAACTTCTAAGTCAAATTTTCCAATAAGAAATGAATGCATGTAATTTATTTATTAAATATAATGTGCACAAATATTTGCAGTACACATTTTACATATTCTTCGATGTTTGAAAATTGTTTTATTTGCATAATCATATATATATATATATAACTTTATACACACAGTAACAATATCAATCACAAGACATACAGGATCTTTAAAGATAAAATTGTGAGGAAATTAACTTAACGGCAATAAACTGTAACCAATTAATGGTTTACATGCACAATTGCGTGAAGATTTGCCA